TTTTTGCCCTGAACATGCATTTTTATGAGCAAAATGAGCTTTGACAGTGTTTTTAGAAATGTCAGGAATGTCAAATCTTTTTTATCTGGAGGACTTCTTGGATGACTCAGGAAAAAGTACTTGGAAATTAGTCAGAACTTAATTGAAGTGGGAAGGATACTGAATTGTTGAGAGAGAGCTTGGTCCCCTGTGCATGCTTTAGATTGGTACTTTAAAAGAAGATCAATCTTAAGTGATTGAATCAGCCTTTTCTTCAAAACATAATTTTTATTCAACCTTTGGTTAGGCATTTGGAATAGTGATTAGAACAGTTATTCAGTCACTTATCCCTTCTCAGGGCAAATGAGAGTTATGCTTCTAATCTTTTTTTCAAAAATCTATAGCGCTTTACTTCTTCCCATGTATCTCCGTCCTTTACCAGCTGTCTTTGGTGGGTCCGGCATCCCTGCTTGCTGAAGACACGGAGAGATACATGTTGGTGAAGAGAACAACGGTGAAGGAGGGGGATACAGCTTTTAAAAGAGCATGTAAGCTGCTGTTGTAGACTTGTCTGTATTTTACACTTAGCCACGTGGCATGGCCTGTACCTGCTTCAGGATGCCCGTGTCGCCTTTTCTGAGACAGTAGATCTGGACCTTTTGATCAGGATTAGGGACTGTACTAAACCATAGTTTCAGGAATAACTTGATCACTGGCAATAGTAGTCCAGAAACAGCAAACAATTTGGTGGAAAGAAGTGATATCGTTAAAGCAAAGAGGTTGGTAACTATGCTACAAAACACCTTCTGAAAGGGTTATTTTGATTTGGAGAATAATCATAGTAAACTGTTACGCTCATATTGTTTACTTAGATTATGAGAGTGGGTTTGTGTAGCGAAACGGAGAACTGAGGCAGTATGAGGGGGGTAGTTGGCAGTGTGGCTAGCGGAAGTGTGATGACCAAAGTAGGAGAAAGATGTCACTCAAAGCTTAATTAAATGCTGGCAGTACGTTTAAGGAAGAAATTAAGAAAAGCAAGAGTAAGACCATCAGTACTGATCTTTAAAGGGCAAACATCCAGCTACATTCAATTCAATTAAAATTGCAGAAATAATTGTATTGATTTTTTTTGTCAAATGATAAATTATATGGTTTGCACCTGAAGAGTCATCACTTTTTTGATGCCGTTACAACTTGATTGTGAATGTCTAGTGTCTGATGCCAAATGCAGCAGATTTAAGTTCTTAATTGGTATTAAACCAATTTGAACAGTATTATTGTTGGGTTTGGAAAATGTGAGAAAGATGGCGACTAAAAGGCCTTGCATCATCATGGTGTGCTGTTTGAGTATGTGGCCACTGATGCTAAATGCCTTCACTCTGGACAGCAAAAATCTCCACTTTCTCTTCTGGCTGAAGTGTGTAACACCCCTGCCGCCACCTCTTCTCCTCTGAGCTTCCACCCTCCAGTACATTTGCCCGGAGTTTCAGTCTCCATACAATAAAATCATGCAGACACGTTCGGTGGGAAGGAAGGTCAATTATTTTTTTGTGGTGCTCTATCCTTCCCTGCATCTTCTGAACTGTCTGTCCCGACAGCTAGAGAAAGTCCCCGTAATTGTGCTCCAGAGCTGGCATTCTCGCATTCTTGTTATAAAGGGGGCCTGGATTAACCACACTTCATGGAGGTGCTGGTGGTGTAGCTGTACAAAGCTCCAGCAGAGAGCCCAGCTCAGTCATCTTGATAACTTCTGCGTAGGCACTGGCAGGTTACTATTATGTTCCCCTGAAGCTTTCTCTTCTCCAGGTTGAAAAAGCCCAGTTCCCTCAGCTTCCATATGTTCTGTAGTAAAAAGGATCTTAATAAAAACTTTAAAATTATTTTTTGTGCAGATTGCAGAGCCACCTGGAGAAATTTCTTTATTCTCATAACTGTTGAGGGGGGGAAAAACTTATTCATCGTTTTTGAAATGTTTTGATAGGCTCTTTATTTTGTCTGTACATGTTTCTCTCCCAGACTTTCACTGAGATCTGCCTTATGCTCTTCCATAAATTAAAGTTCAAAATAATGGGATACAAGATAATTGCAAACATTTTGCTTTCATGTTACACTTCTGCACTCCTGATCATTGCACAGTCTTTTTTCCTTTAACATTAACGTACTTGGATTATGCTGTAGAGGCTGTCACGGTGACCATACGAAGACATGGAGGGATATCCGTCATCATAAAGATGGCAGGTCAGCTCTGTAGCTGGTATAAATTGTTCTACACTTATTGGAGTGCCATGAATTTTCAGTCTGAGGGCCACATGCTGTTCAGAAGTAGTGAGCAGTTACACGTGAGCAGCTGAGCTCTAGCGTAGCTCGTGCTGAGCTCATGCTGGTGTCCAGAGGGGTCACAGTGCTTTTAGCAGATGCTGAGCTTCTCATACAGTGACAGGACATCAGGAATTTTGCAAAAGCTTTGGAAACAAAGGTAGGAGATGGCACAGCTGATGCATTTCATCCTGTAAGGTTTGCTTATCTCATTTGTGCTAGTATTTGAAGCTGACTTTCATAAGAAACAACCCATGTTCTCAAGGCTGTTTTGCAAATCAGGGATGCTAGTTTCATGAAAAGAAAGGGGCTCACTGAATCTGTAGTCGCACGTTAGTGTAATTCTGATGGGAATACATTCTCTTCTAAATACAAGGCACTCTGCAGAGTTCATATATAAACTTGTACCTGTCTATTTCAGTTAAAGTTGTGGATTGCTGAAATTTAGTGCTTTGATATCAGAAACAAGTTTAGCTTTAGACAGAATTCAGACAAATACTGCAAGACTTAAGAAACTTGAAAATCCAGTTGGTTTGAAGACTTTGTAGGATTAGCTCTTGACTTCTTGTCTAAACTTTTTTATTTTATATTTTTGCAGAAAGATTGCTTTTCATTCCACAATTTTAGTTAAAGGACAACTGTGAAGCAATTTTCCATTTTTAAATTTGCCGTTGGGCAAAAATTGCTCATGTTACGATGAGAAGGAGATGGTTTTAATAAGAATGCTGCATGTTAGTACTGAGCAACTATGAACTATTCATTTGATATCTGCAACATTTGTTGGATCTTGTTAACTAAGCAATTAGAGAGTCACTTGCCCCCAAAGTTTTAAAATGAATAAAGCTGAAGTTCTCATTACATCAGATGTGGTTTTAAACAGTGTTTTCCAGAACGTACAGATCTGAATCACAGAACAGCAGCAGTGTTGTAAGCTTGTGTTGTAGGCCATGATGAAGCTCCATACTATGTAAGAAGCTTAAAGCCGTGATAGCCGTAAAAGAAAGCAAACCTTGGCTTCAGATACTTACAAGTAGCCCTCATTCTCCTTGCATATCAGAATATGAGTGTTTTAATTCTAAATTATGAGTATTTTGGTTTTTTGTTGTTTGTCGCCTTCCCCCTGCCTTCATTGAAACCTGAGGTTTGAGGGAAGCAAACACACTACACGGGGAAAAATTGACTGTAATGAGGTGATTGCATCATTCAGTGAGGCATTCTAAGTGCTTAATGCTAACACAGAGGTGCAAGGTGTGGGATTAAATGGCAAGTTGCAGCCTTCTCTTTAGAACTGTAATTAAGTATAATAGATATATGATGGTAATAATTGTATCCAGGCTATGGCTATATAAGTTTGCCAGTTGTACCCCTTGTCTTGAGATCCCCAAATTGTACAACCATGTGGTGCTCATATCCAGTTGGGGACCATGGTGGGTAGAGAAAAAGCAAACTTAATGACACAAAGCTGAAATGTTCCGTCCTCTTCTCTGATACCTCGTTGTCCACTTAACTGTTTTTTCATGCTTTCTTCAGTGGGCTGGTTATTGGCGGCAGCTTAAGGTCCACCATCCTGTTCCCAGAATGCTTCACTTTGAAGGAGTTGTTCGTTACTCTTGGACCACACTGTGTCCCATTATTTGAGCTGCCTGTATCAATATCAGTCCTCCATCTCTTTCCTCTACCTCATAAGCCTGACGCTAAACCTAATGTTTTTTTATCTTAACTTCAGAGCCCTGTCTGAGAGCTAGAAGCTATCATCTCAAAACAGCTTGTATCGTATCAGCTAGGTCCCCTGCGGTCTTTACCACTTCTTACCGTAGTCCTGGCATGTTGTCAGCTGGGTGGAGGAAATTAACTGCTAGTGCTTGATTCTGCAATTGTTCAAACTCAGCAGAGGAGACTGAATCAGCAGTCCCCATCCTGGAGGAATAGCAAGTTAAAATTAAAGTGTCAGAAATCTGATCACAGCTTTTACGTCGTTCACAGAGTCCCATTCTTGCTTGCCCTCTCCCTGGATGTGTGGACACACAGGTGCCCCATTACTACGCTATTTGCAAATATCTCTGCACGTTCCCAATTTTCGTAACAACCTCCTGTGAAACTGGGTGCCTGTTACCTTGCATGCTTTTCCCGTTTTTCTAACTTCTCTGAAAGACAGGCCCATACTTAAACTAGAACATCATTATTCTCCCATCTTAGGAAGTGTTCCACAACTTGATAATTGACTTCAGGAGTGGATCATTTGCATAGATGCAGAGCACATTTCAACCTTTGCTGAGCCAGTCACTAACCTGGAAAAATACTATCTGCTGTCTGGTCTATTTGGTTTTTTGTTGGGTTAAGTGAGATGAATTTGGCTCAGCAAGAGTCCAACAAGTAGCAGAGCTGGCAAATGAGGAGGTGCAAGACCATATGGCCAAGAGCAGGGGAGTGGGAAGCAAGGGCAACCTTTGGTGACAGCAAGCCATTAATTTGGCTCATCTGTGTTGTTAAGGCATACTCTCAGTAAAGCCAAAAAATACTTTGAATGTCATATAAGCAGGTCATTCATTAAGACCATGCCATAAAAGCTTTAATTCCTGGTAGTCTCTTGAGGCTCCCCACAAAATATTGAGGTTAATCAAGATCTAGGTATAGGATTCTTTGTAATTACAGCATTGGTCTACAGATGCAACCATCTTTCTGCATGGATTTTTTTTCTGTTTCAGAAGGAAGATGTCATTAATGTGGAAAGGGACGAAAGACTGTCTCTTCGGAAGCATCGCTTCATGCATTTTGCATCTTTGGAATACGAAGGAGAATATTACATGACACCAAGAGATTTCTTGTTCTCAGTAATGTTTGATCAAGTTGAACGTAAGTTGTTTTCTCACCAATGTATTTGTGAAAGAAAAGAAACTTGCAGGTCCCCTTAAAGATGTAATTTGCAAATCACTGGGATAAGACCCCTAATCTGACATAAATCAGCAGAAGCCAATTTATAAATGTTGTGCGTATGGATTTTCACAGGCACCGCCACCACCCTTTACACCAGTGAAGCGAGGCTGATGATTTAGAAATCTGGTGACTTGACGATGACATTACGTCTCTGCATATTTTGCATGTCTGATCAGTATGCAGTTCCTCAATTACTTACATACCACAGAAAATAGTAGAACTGTAATATAATAGTGTTCATACCTTTCCTGGCCCCGTTATCTGTCTATCCACTTCACCAGTAAGTACTCTGTCACCTTTTTTCTTAGAAGAGGCAGTGACGGGTGTGACTTGAATGAGTGTAATGAAGCATTGAACTCAGCTGCAAGTTTCTGGTTTCAAATCTCCTCTGGTTTATATGAAACGTAGTTAAGAACAAACCAAATTGTATGCATGTTTTTAAAAAAGTACTTTTAAAAGCATACTTTCTGAGAAGATAGGACAAATACACAAATAAAAAGTGCATAGGTTGTCCTCCTTTCCTCCTGGTTTTCTGGCCTCATTAGCTCTGCCCCATTCCTTAAGCTTCTTTTATCTATCTTTGTATCATTTTCTGTAATTTCCATTTTACAGTATTTTTTTAAAATTATGTATGTTTTTTCTCTCAAAAAAATTGGCTTTTACAGCTTTCCCAATAATTTTTTGCTTTAGAAAGGTTAAGTTCTCCAAATTTCAGAGAGGATTGTCACTCAGATGACAAATACTCTGTTATAACATCTGCTGAGGAAAAGAGGGGGAAATTATAACTTTAATCATTGTTTGCTGCAGTCTGCACATACTGACCTGGGGAGCATGTTGTCTAGCAAAAGCCATTCATAGCCTGGCATGTTCTGCCCAGGTAGCAGCGAATGTCCCGAGTGACTTGGGGGTATTGAACAGGAAATACAGAAGGGAATTCAAGGTACTGTGGAAAAGCTTGAGAGACAGGGAGGAAGAAGGAGACCTGAACACACTTTGATTCAAGCCTGTGGAAGAACTGGGGCAGAACAGAGTTTACTGAGCTGCAAGTGGTCAAAGAACAGGACACAAGAATCTGTAATGACAGAAGTTTTCTTGTGTCTGCCAAACATCTATAGGTGATCAGGATACATGGCTTCACTGCTGACACACAGCTTCTAATATTATACAAAGCTGAATAGAAATCCTTAGAAGGACTTTATGACCTTGAGAGTCATGGTGGCTCTCAAAATAACTTTTTTTTTTTTAATATATGGCCAACGGAAAGAGTTCTTTCCCCTTCAAAATTTAGGTCATTAAGTTGAAAACCTAGAAGGGATTTTCTTTTGAGTTTTCCAGCCTGAAACACTGAAAGGCAGTGAATACTGAAATTTTCAGTTTTGAAGGTGTGGGTTTCAGATGGTTGTCTGTGAAAGCAAGGTTAGAGAAATAAGTGTTTTTCAGTCTTAGCACTTCATACATATTAATTGGTTACTCCAACTATAATAATACATGTGCAGATTTTTAATGAAGTAGTATGCGGGTAAGATTTATTTGTAATGCAACCAAATTAATTTCAGTTACTTTGCTAATATGAGTAAGAAACAGAAAGGGAAAAATTACAAGAAAAAAACACGTGAACAAAAAAAATCTTTGCACTAATGCATATTTAGCGTTTCAAATTGAGGTCAGGCTTACAACAACAGCATCATAGACAATTCATAGAAAAATGTTAATATTTGAATCTAATCATAGAATCATAGAATCGTTTAGGTTGGAAAAGACCTTTAAGATCATCAAGTCCAACCATCAGCCTAACACTGCCATCCCACCACTAAACCATGTCCCTAAGCACCTCGTCTACCCGTCTTTCAAATACCTCCAGGGATGGGGACTCCACCACTTCCCTGGGTAGTCCATTCCAGTGCCTGACAACCGTTTCTGTGAAGAAATTTTTCGTAATGTCTAACCTAAACCTGCCCTGTTGCAACTTCAAACCATTTCCCCTCATCCTGTCGCCCATTACCAGGGAGAAGAGGCCGACCCGCACCTCGCTACAGCCTCCTTTCAGGCAGTTGTAAACTCCTAAACAATTTTTTAACCATCATAGTTGTGGGTTCTTTGGCCAGTAGCATAAGCACAATGGTAAGCAATTATCCTCAAGTCATATTACTTGGGATTTAAGGTTTTCTTGTAACTGCAAACAGACATAGCATTTGTTAGCAAAGAAATATGGTGGTTTAAGTATTTTAAAGGCCGTGGTTTGTTCCTTGTGTTTATAAGAGTTTCATATGAGGAAAATAAACAGACCTATCTCAAGCGTCTGTCCAGGTATATTCAGAGTAGACCAATATGGTGAACTTAATAGCAAAGCAGCAATTATTTTTGGAAGCTTTCCGCTTATATCATAAAATTAATTCCCTTTCACGCTGAACAGTGTAGTTTTAAAAAGGAAAACAAGCATGCCACCGTAATGCTAGAAAGCCTTTTACTTAGTGGCATACTGAGATGCAATTTTAATATGTCATACTTCATACAAATGGTGCGTCATACTATGTTGAACTTAAAGCTGTAATGATTTGGTTATTCTCTACCTATTTTTTGATCAATCACTAATTAAAAACTAATCAGAAACATTTGAAGCACCCTGGCAGTAACCATTCATCTTCATAAATATTTGCCTGGAGTTTGCCAATTGGTTGCTGTATATGATAATGTGGAAGGCTTAGGGCTGTTCTAATGTTTTGTTCCTGCTGTCTTTTACAGATAATATGCAGGAACGTATGACCAGCCTTGTGAGCAATTTAGCTGTGTACACCAAGAAATATTGCTGAGGTTGATCACAACATTCTCTTGTTTTGTTCCTATTCAGAGATAAACACTCCCAAAGGGGAAAAAGGCAAGCAAAAAGAGGGGATGAGAAGCAATTATGGGTTGGGAATAGGGGTCCTTGTCCAACAGCCTTGGGTTTTTTTGCTCACTGGTGATTGTCACTGGAGAATTACTTCAAAATCTTGTGTTAGTTTTTAAGCATAATTAAATTTAGAAGAAAGTAAATGTGATGTTGTGTAAAGCAGATGAGTTGTTGGTGCTAGATCAAAGCCACTGACGTTAGAAAATACTAAAATATTTTAGCTATGTCCAGATTGTCAAGTGAATTCCTGTACACAGAAGGGTGGAATTTATTACTGAAGCAAAAATCTTAGGTGTGCCCTGTGACGAGGTTGCAAAACATGCAATAAATTATGATTTATTATAGAACACTTTCCCAGATAAGAAAACAGATGAACTGTAGTGCAAATATATCAACTGTCATCCAGCCCAAGTGATCTTGAACCCTGCTTGATAGACCTTAGTTCACTAGTTCTGCTCATTTGTTTCCTGGTGCATGGGTTTCTCTATTACTCATTTTCTTTAAGGTAGGCGAAAAATTGTGAAATCTTGGCATT